AAGGAAGCCAGAAACCCTCGTTCATGGGAAGCCCACCCTCTCTCAGTGGAGGTGGCTGACTTGCTGAGTTCACCCGTCATCTAGGACACTGCATGCATGTGTTTGTTCATGTGTGTGGAGAGGAATGAGTGGGTTTATTCACCTGTGATGTTCCCAGCTCTGTCAGGCACCTAACCTAAGTTCTTAAGTCAGTAACCCTGGAGGTAGGGAGTAAGAAGAAGGCTCCAGCCAAAAACCGGTTTGGCTCAGTGGATAGAGCGTTGGCCTGCGGACTGAGGGGTCCCAGGTTCGATTCCTGTCAAGGGCATGTGCCCTGGTTGCTGGCACATCCCCAGTAAGGGGTGTGCAGTAGGCAGCTGCTCGATGTTTCTCTCTCATTGATGTTTCTAGCTCTCTATCCCTCTCTCTTCCTCTCTGTAAAAAATAAATAAAATATATTTTAAAAGAAAGAAAGAAAAGAAAAGAAAAGAAGGCTCCAAGAAGGTAAGAAACTTGTCCAAAGCATGGATGGCAAAAACCTTTAGAAGTCCTAGGTCCTGCCCAGCGGGCGTGGCTCAGTGATTGAGCATCGACCTATGAGCTAGGTCACGGCTTGATTCCTGATCAGGGCACATGCCCAGGATATGGACTCCATCCCCAGCAAGGGGTCATGCTGGAGGCAGCCGATCAATGATTCTCGCGTTGATGTTTATATCTCTCCCTCTCCCTCTCTGAAATCAACAGTATGCACATCTCTCCAGAGAGAGTAAGAGAGAGAGGGAGGGAGGAGAGAAAGTCTAGTCTCCTATCTACCACGCCTGGGAAGCCACTTACCGGAGGAGAACTCCTGGGCAAAGGCCAGGGACATCAGCAACAAGGGGAAGCCCACGGCTACGAACTTGACTATGCGGTCCAGGGGGAGCTCCAGGTTCAGCCGTTGGAGGCGGGGGCCCCGGCGGTCAGGCAGCAGGGCGTCTGAGAGCATGTACTCCGCAGCTGCGTGTGCAAGCGACATGGTGCCGCTGAGCGTTGGGGTGCAGAGGCGGCAGGAGGGGTCCCAGGGTAGCAGAGTGAGGAGATGGCAGCTGCAGGCAGCTGGCACGGAGCAGAGAGAGCCTGCAGCCCCAGCCTCTGGGACATCTGTGCCAGGAGCAGGCGCTGGTTCTCTAAATAACCGCCGGCCCCCCGAGCCGGACACCTGGTAATTAGAAGGAGGCCTGGCATAGCGGGTCCTCACTGGAGGAGGGTCGGGTGTCCGCGGGGGCTGGTGTCAGGCTGCTCTCTGGCTTGTCCTGGAGCCGATGGAGGTCCGTGGCTTTAAGCTGCCCTCTTATTAATAAAGTATTTTTAGTGGGTGGTGGGGAGGAGGCGGGCTGCGAGGCCGGGGCTCCCATGTAATTGGTGTGGAATTTGGGTGGAGATTGTGTTGAAGGTGCTCATTTTGTGGCTTGGGGTGGAGGTAGGGACCCCTGGACTCAGCTGGGATGACTAAGACTACTGCATAGTGTTCTTTGTCCCAGTGATGAGATTTGCTTTGCTCTCAGGCTCTTTCTCAGAAAGGACTCTGCTCTTGGTGTTTTGCTTCCATATATAATATTTAATTTAATTTTTTTTTTCTTTTAGCCTTCATCAGTTCTTTAGAAAACTGAGGGGTGGCTGGCAGCGTTGAATAGTGGAAAGCAGTGACCTTTGGAACTTGGCGGGAAAGGTTTCCACAGGAGACCTAGCAAGTACTCATTTTTATTGCCTGACTTTGGCCAGGAGTCTCACCCATCCGATGGCTTGATGTTGTCATCTTACAAGATAGAGAGGATTGACTGAGAGGATTACAGGTGAAGGTATTTTGTAAAGTGTAGGGTAACTATCAACTCTTATATCCATCTTGTGGGGTTGGGTCAGTGGGGCATAGGGCGTCTGCCCTGAGAGGCCCCGACTTTGGCCTTCACACGGGTCCCCTTTGGCTGTGCCTTCTCACAAGGCAGAGTCCATGGGACCAAAGGGATGCACCCATTCAGAGTCTACTCTAGACCACCCCTCTGGCACCTGGGACACTGTAATTCCCCGCCCAGATGGCCCCAGGGCCTGTGCAGGCTTTTTCCTTGGTGTACCCTCCTGTTTACAGATTTTTTAAAAAATATAATATATTTTATTGATTTTTTACAGAGAGGAAGGGAGAGGGATAGAGAGCTAGAAACATCGATGAGAGAGAAACATCGATCAGCTGCCTCCTGCACACTCCCCACTGGGGATGTGCCCGCAACCAAGGTACATTGCCCTTGACCTGAACTGAGCCTGGGACCCTCAGTCCACAGACCAACACTCTATCCACTGAGCCAAACCGGTTTCGGCTCGTTTACACATCTTTCTGCTGGGGTGCACCCCTAGGACGAAGAAAAGGCTCCTTGAGGGAGCTGGAGGGGATTTAGAAACCCGGGATGCACACACATGCAATTATGAGGCTTCTTGCGATGTGAGGACTTAGCCGTGTTGGGAAGAAGGGGCCTGGGAAGATTCTAAATTTAAATCTGACATTCAGGTCATTATGAAGGGGTATGTGTGTGTGTGTGTGTGTGTGTGTGTGTGTGTGTGTGTGTGTAAATATGTCAAGGTGGGCCGACAGAATGTATTTTCTTTAAATCGGTTTTCTAGCTTTATTTGTAACATTTAATTTTTTAGATACATGATATGTGGGCTTCTATTTGAACTGTTTTTCCTGGGCCCACAAACGTTTGGTTTGGACCTGTCTCTCTCCCCATCCCCAGGCTGGAGGCCAGCTCTGATTCAGAGCTGCCCAGTGAGCGCTCCCGGGAGTGACCCGGCATGGGAGCAAGAAAAGGGATTCTCTGTTTCATCTCCCTTTAGCCTCTCCACACTCTCGTTTCTGAATCTTTTCAACATGTGTGTTTTTGCCAAACGTGTGTAGTTGGTTTGTATCCATATATTTTGTTTTAGTTTTTAAAAATAGTTACTTTTAAAAGATATTTTATTGACTTTTAGAGGGAGAGGAAAGAAGAGAGAGAGAGAGAGAGAGAGAGAGAGAGAGAGAGAGAGAGAGAGAGAGAGAGAGAGAAACATCAACATAAGAGCAGAACACTGATTACTACCTCCTGCACATTTCCCACCAGGGATTGAGCCCACAACCCAGGTACATTCCCTGACCAGGAATCGAACTGGCAACCCTTCGTTGTGCAGAACTATGCCCAACCAACTGAACACCAGCCAGGGCAAAAAAAAAAAAAAAAAAAAAAATAGTGTACATCTTTACTGGAGTATAAAAAACATACATTCATAAGCACATATCCTAAGTGTACAGTTCAGTCAGCTTTCATCTGATCAGGAAACAGAATGCTACTAGCACCTCAGAAACTACCTTTGTGCTCTTTTGTAATAACTACCATTTCCCACAGGGTAATCATTATCATAACTTCTAATAGCATAGCTATTTTTGCCTTATACTTTACAAAAAATGGAAATCATAGTATGTGCTCTTTTGTGTTGGGCTTCTTTTGCTCTACATCATAGTTAAGAGAACCATCTATTGGTGCCTGTTTTGGACTTAATATAAATGGAATTACATGTATGCATTTTTTTTTGTCTGCTCAACATATTTTTTAAAATATATTCTTATTGATTTCAGAGAGGAAGGGAGAGGGAGAGAGAGATAGAAACAGCCATGATGAGACAGAATAAGTGATCAGTTGCCTCCTGCATGCCCAACCCTGGGGATCCAACCCATAACCTGGGAATATGGTCTGACCGGGAATCAAACCGTGATCTCCCTGTTCATAGGTGGACATTCAACCACTGAGCCATGTCAGCTAGGCTGCTCCACATATTTTTGAGAATCATCCATGTTGTTGTGCATATCAAATTTTGATTCCTTTTATTGTGTAGAAATACAACAATTTGTTTATCTTCATCAATTGATGGATAATTGGGTTTCTAGTTCCTGGCTACTGTGTACTGGTTAATAATGAGGATTTTTTTTTTTTCAATAGATGGTGTTACACATATGTTTGTATATATGCAATTTTTAATTTTTTTCTTTATTGATTAAGGTATTACATGTGTGTCCTTATCACCCCATTCCCCCCTCCCCCCTTCCCCACACATGCCCTCAAACCCCTGTTGTCTGTGTCCATTGGTTAGGCTTATATGCATGCATACAAGTCCTTTGGTTGACCTCTCCACCTTACCTCCATCTTCCCCTACCTTCCCTCGGAGGTTTAACAGTCTGATCAATGCTTGCCTGTCTCTGGATCTGTTTTTGTTCATCAATTTATGTTGTTCGTTTTATTCCACAAACAAGTGATATCATGTGATATTTATCTTTCTCTGACTGGCTTATTTCCCTTAGCATAATGCTCTCCTGTTCCATCCATGCTGTTGCAAATGGTAAGAATTCCTTATTTTATTTATTTATTTATTTATTTATTTATTTATTTTACCGCATTCCATTGTGTAGATGTACCACAGTTTTTTAATCCACTAATCTGCTGAAGGGCACTTAGGCTGTTTCTAAATCTTAGCTATGGAAAATTGCGCCACTGTGAACATAGAGGTGCATATATCCTTTCTTATTGGTGTTTCTAGTTTCTTGGGATATATTCCTAGAAGTGGGATCACTGGGTCAAATGAGAGTTCCATTTTTAGTTTTCTGAGGAAGCTCCATACTGTTCTCCACATACTGTTCTGCACCAGTCTGCATTCCCACCAACAGTGCACGAGGGTTCCTTTTTCTCCGCATCCTCACCAGTACTTGTCGTTTGTTGATTTGTTGATGATAGCCATTCTGACAGGTGTGAAATGGTACCATATTGTCATTTTGATTTGCATCTCTCAGATGATTAACGACTTTGAGCATGTTTTCATATGTCACTTGGCCTTCCTTATGTCTTCTTTCGACAAGTATCTATTTAGGTCCGTTGCCCATTTTTTGATTGGGTTGTTTATGCAATTTGATATGTATGCTATTTTGTTGTATTGACAACAAGCTTCAAAACTTCATATGTCAAATTTTCTGAAGGTGTTAACATCTTAGATATTTTTATGTTTAAAAATGTTGAATTTCGTGCCAAAAAAAACATTTGCGGGAAGTTTTAATTCATTACTTTATTTTGAATAAAAGTACTGCTGAAAGTTATCGTATTCTTCAGGAAGCTTGTGGTGAACATGCTTCATTTCAAGATACGTGTGCACACTGGTTTAAACGCTCTAAAAGTGATGATTTTGATGTGAAAGACAAAGAATGTCCAGGTCAGTTTGAACCACACTTTGATCGTAAAAACGAACAGAATGGTCCAGAAGACACAGCAAAGTAATTTTGTTTCATGATAACACACCATCACACACTTCAAAACCAGTTAAAGACACATTAAAAGATCTTGCCCGGGAAGTATTAATCAACCTGTTGTATTCACCAGACCTTGCTCCTTCAGATGACCACTTGTTCCAATCGATGGCACGCACTTTCTGAGCAGCACTTCAAAATGTGCGAAGAAGTGAAAAATTGAGTCTCTGAATGGTTTGCCGCAAAACGAGAAAAGTTCTATTGGGACAATACCCACAAATTACCTGAAAGATGGGGGAAATGTGTAGCTAGCGATGGACATTAACTTTGAATAAAGCACTTTTGATGTTTCTCTTGAAATTATTGTGTTTTCTTTGATCAAAACATCCGAATTACTAACCGGTACACATAGTATATGAGTTTGATAATCAGCTTATCAGTTTCAAAATTTTTTTATTGAGACTGCTAAATCTATAGCTTAATTTGAGGAAAATTAATATCCTTCCAGTATTGAGGTTTCAAATTTATGAACACAATATATCACTCTATTTTGGTCTTCTGTATTTTCTATTCCTAGTGATGTTTAGTTTTCAATGTGGATGTCCTATACATCTTTTGTTATGATTTATTCCTAAGTATTTGATATTTCTTGTTAATATTATTAAGAGTACTTAAATTTTTTTTCTACTTGTTGTAATACAAGGAACTACAACTGATTTTTGCATATTGATATTTTATCCTGAAAATCTTTTAAATTCATTTATTGGTTCTAATAGTTTGTAGATTCTTTTGGATTTTCTGTCTACCCAACCATATAATCTGTGAAAAGTGATCATTTATTTTCTAATCTTTATGTCTTTAATTTATTTTTGAAAATTTATTTTTCTTGCCTTATTGCACTGGTCAGGACCTTCAGTACAATACTGAATATAAGTAGTGATAGTAAGTATCCTTATCTTGTTTTTCTTCTCTCTCTCTGTCTTTGGATACTCTTTTTTTTTTTTTTTTTTTTTTTTTTTTTTTTTACAAACTCCTATATTCCTAGTTTACTAAGTGTGATTATTTTGAATGGATGTTTAATTTTTAAAAGTACTTTTCTGTATAATTTGAGATGTTCAAAGGACTTTTTTCTCCCTATAGTTGTTATTGTGATGAAATGTACTGATTGGTTTTTGAATGTTATACAAGTCTTGCTTTCCTGGAAAAAAAAAACTTTATTTGATTCTGATACATTATCTTCATTTTTGGTGGTTTCAGTTTGCCTTTTTTTTTTTTTTTTAAGAATTTTGCATTTCAGATATTATTTTCCTTTCTTGTAAAGATTTGAAATGAGCAAGCCAGATATTATTTTCCTTTCTTGTAAAGATTTGGCAGGTTATTCTGGCCTCACTAAGAGAATTAGGAAGTATTTCCTTTTTATCTATTCTCTGGAAATGTTTGTGCAAGATTCGTGTCAGTTATTAAATTTTTGGAAGAATTTACAGGTGAAGGCATCTAGTTTAGTAGATTCAAGTTCTTTAATAAATATTTGACTAGTCAGGCTTTCTAACTTCTATTCGCTGAAATACAGTAGCTTCTAATGGTGCAGGAAAATTGCACTGAAACGAAGGGCTTAACACAACAGACATCTCAAAAATTCTGTAGATCAGAAATTGAGAAGCATCTCAGTTGGGTTGTTAGACCCAGGGTCTCTCTTGAGGCTCAAACAAGATGTTGACTGGAGCAGCAGACATCTCAGGGCTTGACCGGGACTGGAGGGTCATCTTGCAAGCTCATCCAGTGATTATTGGCTGGTGGTCTCAGTGCCTTGTTGGGTGTTGACAGGAGTTGACAGGAGGCCTCAGTTCCCCATCAGGAGGGTCTCTTCCTCGGGTAACGTAGCAGGTGGTTTTCCCAGAGCAGGTGATCCAAGACAGAGAGCAAACAGGAAGCCACGGTGCTTTTTATGACCTGTGGTTTGAAGTTGCAAATACTACTTGAAGAAAACATGGCCAGAGTTTTGTTCAGTAACATCAGTTACTCTAACGTCCTATTGGGTAAACATGGTTCAATGAAACATTGCTTTCCGGCAGAACCTTTTATCGTGCACTTTAGTAACCATACCTTCACCCAAAGCACTGCTGTAAGGAAGGATATTTTAGATGTATATTGAGAGTTTAGAAGAGCAAGAGGCTTTTTGTGAGCATTTTTTAAAAATCAAAGGCCATATTATGAAGGCACCTGTATATTCCCAATTCTGCTCTTCAGGCACCCAGCTCAGTCTGCTCTAAATTCCATTCACTTTGTCATTGGCTTCAGGAAGGGATTTGGTAAAGTCAGTCCTTCACAGATGACTAGAGCTGGTATGTGATCACCTGTACTCCACATTCCTTATTAGGGACACTTTTATTTTAACGAAGACAGACTTTTCAGCAAAAGGAAAAAAAAATCTCAATTAGGAGAAATTCAAGATTCAGTGAGCAGGTGGGTTAGATATATTTTAGGTCAGAGTTATAAGCTGGAGTTAGTTCCTTTGGAGAAGTTATGAAATCATAACATAGAGACTAAACTCCGTTTTTATTTATTTATTTTTAAGTTTTTAAAATATTTTATTGATTTTGTACAGAGAGGAAGGGAGAGAGATCGAGAGTTAGAAACATCGATGAGAGAGTCATCGATCAGCTGCCTCCTGCACACCCCCCACTGGGGATATGCCCGCAACCAATGTACATGCCCTTGACCGGAATCGAACCTGGGACCCTTCAGTCCCCAAGCCAATGCTCTATCCATTGAGCCGAACCGGTTTCGGCTAAACTCCATTTTTAAAGGCCTGTTTATGAGCGTATGCACGTGTACACTAATCAGTGATTGCTGGTCTTTCTCTATAGCCCACATTCAACCAAGACTTGGCAGTGATGGTGTCTTATGGCGAGGTTTTCACTTAGAGGTTTGCTACAATCCTCAGTCTCATTACTAAACCCCAATCCCTGTCCTCAATCCCACTAATGAATTTTACAAATAGAGTAAAGCAATTCATTATCACAAACTTCAAATAAGCCCCGTAAGACAGACTCTCCTTGGGACTGAAGAGCAAACAAGACCTCAGAGGTTCATTAAAAGTGGACTTTTCTCTAAGAACCTCTGAGGGCTCTTTGTCTGGATGATGTAACACCAAGGAAAGATGCTCAGAGCTGATGCCAATTGCCAGGGAAGCTGCATTTCAGCTATGAGAACACTCCCCCCTCCTTTTTTCCGTTTTATTTTTACTTTTTATTGAGGTAAAAGTCACGTGACATTTTAAAAATTCATCATTGAAAGCATTTTCAGGCGTAGATGCAATGCTCCTCATACATCCACAGTGCTGTGCAACCCTCAGTGTTTCCCAAACTTTTGACATATGTGTACCCCTTCTATAATTTTCGTAACGCTGAGCACCCTTCGTACTCATGAGAAAGTAGAATTAGGCGCAGCTAAGCACGGTGCAGTGCGTATCCCTACCAAACTCTTCCTGTACCCCTGGGGGTACGTGTACCACACTTTGGGAAACACTGAGTCCCAGAACATCCCATCATCTCAAAGGGAAGGCCAGGCCAGAAGCTGTCACTCCTTATTCCCTCCTGCCTCTAGCCCCTGGGACCCACTAATCTGTTTTCTCTATTGTCATTTCCTACAAACAGAATCATACACTATGTGGCCTTTTGTGTCTGGCTTCTTTCATGCAGCATAATATTTTCCAGGTTTGTCTGTGTTGTGGCAGTACTTTATTGCCTTTTCAGGCTGAATGGCATTGGATTGTATGGATGTATTACGTTTTATTTATCCATGCATCAGTTGATGGGCATTTGCATTGCTCCCACTTAGGAGCAGTTATAAACAGTGTTGCCGGAAGGTTAGTCAGAGGTGATAGCCTCCGGTCTTCTCAGGTCTTTTCTGAGCCTGTGCACACCGTCTGGGTGTGGTCCTTGGGCTCTCAGGAATGTGTGAGAGCTTATTTCTCCAAGCGTCTCATTCCCTAGTCTTTCCTCCCAAACGTTTTGGTTCACCTATTATTGCCCCAACTGTTGCCCCTTGCCCCAGAGGGCAGTGACAAATGCATTCACCTTTAAACATTTTCTAAAATGGGCCCCCCCCCCCGCCACCCGCCCCCCCAAGCTGCCTCAGCCCTGGGAGAGGTCCAGGTTGGCAAAACCGAGGCAATCCCTTTGAGCGGGTCCTCCAGAGAGCCACCAGACGGGACAAAACACACAACCACAATTCCTGGAGAGCAGGATCTGTTACCAGGAATGCAGGCTGTTGTTTTCAAGGCCAGCAGCACCCAGCTGGGAGCAGGAGACACATCCAGAACAAGTTCAAAAGCCACAGAGCTCTGACTGAGGCTTAACTTTCCCCCTTGTGCTCCCCTGGGTTGTGGCAAGCTTTTAATTAGTATCCAGAGTTCCATTTTGAATGTTTTTGCCAGTTTATTTATTGCTTTTCGGGATAGAAGGACACTTGGGAATTTCCTCCTCTGCCATTTTTGCTGACGTCCCCTGTAATTCTCAGAAATACCCCAGTTGGTGGTAAATTATACGGTTCCACTAAGTATTCAGAGAATAAACTTTGGGATCGGTCTGATCTTAATGCAAATCCTGGCTCTGCCACTTCCTAGGTGGATGGTCCATTTTTTTTTTAACCTCTCTATGATCTTTAAAGCCTTTATCGTGAAATGGAGGTAATAAACACAACTCAATGAGTTATAGTTATGAATAAAGGGTGCCATGTCTGGCACTGTCATTTAAGGTAGAAGGATTATTGTGCCACGTGGATTTCTCTCTTTCCTGCTGCAATCTGAAGCCTAGAGGAAAGTGGTTAGGGCAGGTATTTTTGGAAGGGAGGGGCTCATATGGAACCATGTATTTAAAAATGCAACACACCAAAGCAAGTTATAAATGTATGTTTATATGTATGTTTTTATGTCCCAGTTCAGAGAAAAAGGCATACGTATCCATACAAAAATATCTGGAAGGATAGATACCAAGTAATTAAGAATGGTAATCACTAGCTAGAGGAAATACGGTGTTTTTAGTATCTCATTTTTTTCTTCATGCACATAAATTGCTTTTGAAATTTTATTTATTTATTTACTTTAAATAAATGTTTATTGATATCAGAGAGGAAGGGAGAGGGAGAGAGATAGAAACATTGATAAGAGAGAAACGTCATCGATTGGCTGCCTCCTGCACGCCCCACACTGGGGGGGGATCAAGCCCGCAACATGAGCATGTGTCCTGATCGAGAATCAAAATTTTTAAGTATCTAATACAGTGTTGTTAACCATCGGCCAAAAAGGGAGAGAGACCTTGTGAAGTTTAGGCTGAGTGTACTTCCCGGAGGAGAGGTGTGAGAGAATGCTCCACGCGTCCGTATTTCTTCTGCACCAGTGGTATGAAAACGGAATAAGAAGCTAATGAAATATGTTCTCTCACAGTCTTTCTTTTTAGGGAAACACTACATCACACCCATGATAAGGTGTGTGTGTTGGGGGAGGGGAGGGGGGGATGAGAAAACTGGAATAAAATTTGTTTTGTTTGTTTTTGCTGCAAAAAGCTTTATTGTTTCCATTCGGTGCAGTGCACCGGAGAGGGCTTCAGGGGGGTTAAAAGAATGGCTAGTAGTTTCAGGGAGAGGCTCAGGCAAAAGGCAGGCACCAGGGGACGCAGAGGGGCCCCTCAAAGGCCTCTGGGCTCCACAGGCTCCTGGTCGTGCTGTGGGGGGTGAGGGGTGGGGTGGGGGGTGGAGAGACTTTCGAAGAGACACTCGCCCAGCCCAGCCCGGGGCGGCCGCCTGCGGAGGGGAGTCAGGTGCTGCCCACCTTCTTGATGCGCTTCCCCTGCTCACCCCGGAAGTGGTTCTCCCGGAAGTCACAGAGCGGAGGGTGCGCGGGCGGACCCCGGGCCTGCAGCTCCACAGGGGCCTGGCTCAGGCTCCCCTCCACGGCCACCCCGCTCACCCTGGGAGGCCTCAGCGCGTCCTGGGAGGGAATGTGGCCGCCTCGCTGGCTTTGCATGTTTAAGAAGCTCAGGGCCCTCCAGCCTCTTCTCCACCAACTCCCTCTCCAGAGCCACATCTTCGCGACGGAAACGGGAGCCCAAAGAGAGGTAGGTGTGGGGCCCGCAGAGGCAGGCTGGCCAGGGGTTGAATGATTCTGATGAATCTGGGAGCTCATGGCTGTTCGGCAATAGGAGTTAAGGTAGAAAATAAACAAACAAACAAATAAATAAATAAACAGTGTTGGCTGGCCTCAGAGGTGAGGCTGGCTGAGGTGGTTCTGAAGGCGGTGACTGGAAAGGAGGTTGGAGGGTGGTCGGAGGCTGGAAGATGGAAGAAGGGGCATCCCCGTGTCTGTTCCGTCGAAACACTGTGGAAGCAAGAGACAGGCCTGGGGACCGCCGAGGCCACTGCCCATCCCAGTGTGTTTTATGTCTCTTTATCTGCCTCGCTTTTCTCAGAGCACGATGGCTCTGAGCTACGTAGCCTGTAGCTAATCCTTTGCTTCTAACGGCTGCAAAGCCTCCACTGCCGTTTACCTGTTGATTTGCCCAGTGATGGGTGTAAAGACATGACTTCTTGCCGAAACCGGTTTGGCTCAATGGATAGAGCGTCGGCCTGTGGACTGAAGGGTTCCAGGTTCAATTCCGGTCAAGGGCATGTACCTTGGTTGCAGGCACATCCCCAGTAGGGGTGTGTGCAAAAGGCAGCTGATCAATGATTCTCTCTCATCGATGTTTGTAACTCTCTATCCCTCTCTCTTCCTCTCTGTAAAAAGTCAATAAAATATATATATATATTTTTTTAATTAAAAAGTAGGGAAAAGTGATTGTTCCCATTGTGGTTGGGCATTCGGAAGGCTTCTCACTGGCGTTTGTAACAACTTACCGTATTTTTCAAAATGAAGAAGAATGACTTTTGAATCAAAACATTTTTCTCTGCAGGGTCCTCTGTAGGGCTGCCTTTACCTCCTTATTCCTCAAGCTGTAGATGAGGGGGTTCAGCATGGGGATCACCGTGGTGTAGAACACGGAGGCCACACTCTCCTGGGCCAGGGAACTGGCGGTGGAGGGTTTTAGGTACATGAACGCCGTGGACCCGTAGAACATCCCCACAGCCGCGAGGTGGGAGCTGCAGGTGCTGAAGGCCCTGGACCTGCCCTTCGCGGTGCTGATGCGGAGGATGCTGGCGAAGATGAAGGCGTAGGAAAAGAGGACCATCACGCTGGTGACGATGATGTTGAATCCGGCTAGGAAGAAGACCACCACCTCCACAACGTAGGTGCTCGAGCAGGAGAGCTTCATGAGGGGGAGGATGTCACAGAAGTAATGGCTGACGAGGACCTCACAGTAGGGCAGCCTTAGCATGAGGCCGGTCTCTGTGGTTGAGCCAAGGAGCCCCATGGCGTAGACCACAGCCACCAGCAGGGAGCAGACGTGATGGGACATGACGATGTGGTAGAGCAAAGGCCTGCAGATGGCCACGTAGCGGTCGTAGGCCATCACGGTCAGCATGTAGCACTCGGCGATGACAAACACCAGGAAGAAGTAGAGCTGTGACATGCACCCCGCGTAGGAGATGCTGTTGTTCGTGGACACGAAGTGCACCAGCATTTTGGGGGTGATGACGGAGGAGTAGCAGAGGTCCACGAGCGACAGGTTGCTGAGGAAGTAGTACATGGGGGTGTGGAGCTGAGCATTCAGGCGGATCAGCGCTATCATGCCCAGGTTCCCCAGCATGGTGACGGAGTAAATGCCCAGGAAGAGGAGGAAGAGGGGGAGCTGGAGCTCCGGCCGATTGGTCAAGCCCCGGAGAATGAACTCTGTCACCACCATGGAGTGATTTTCCGTGGCCATTTTCCTTTGTTTGGGAGCCCTGTGGGGAGGAGAGAGAGCTTGTGAGAGGCTGCATCTGGGACTCCCTGGTGAAGCTAGTGGTCAGCATATGGAGCAGCTAATAATCCTGGGCCCTTCCTTCCTTCCCTCCTTCCTTCCTTCCTTCCTTCCTTCCTTCCTTCCTTCCTTCCTTTCTTCCTTTCTCTTCCTTCCTTCCTTCCTTCCTTCCTTCCTTCCTTCCTTCCTTCCTCTTCCTTCCTTTTCCTTCCTTCCTTCCCTCCCTCCCTTCCTTCCTTCCTTCCTTCCTTCCTTCCTTCCTTCCTTCCTTCCTTCCTTCTTCCCTTCCTTCCCCTTCCTTCCCTCCCTTCCTTCCTTCCTTCCTTCCTTCCTTCCTTCCTTTCTTCCTTCCTTCCTTCCTTCCTTCCTTCCTTCCTTCCTTCCTTCTATATTTTTATTGATTTCATGAAGGAAGGGAGAGGGAGAGATAGAAACATCAATCGTGATGTTTCTGATTGGCCACCTCCTGCATTTCCCACCCTGGGGATTGAGCCTGCAACCCAGTCATGTACCCTGACCAAGAACTGAACCCTGACCTCCTGGTTCACCACAGGTTGACGCTCAGCCACTGAGCCACACCACCTGGGCGTGGGCTCTTTCTTGGTGCATCCTTCCCTCATCTGCTGTTCGCTGGGAAGGAAGACCAGATCCTGGGTGTTTCAAAGATCAAAGAGATGAGAGGAAAAAGGGACCAAGAGCTGGATTGTTTAACACTTTTATGTTTCTCAAAATACCCTACCCTTTACCTCTTTGCACACAATATGCCACAATTGCCTAATCCTCACAGCTTCCAGCTACATGGTAAGCATGTGGCTTGAGAGCTGCAGTTTGCTGACCACTGCCCTAGAGCATTGCTTCTGAAAGTGTGGTCCTAGGACCAGCCTCCTCAGCGTCACCTGTACGTTAGAGAGGCAGACTCTCAGGCCTCACCGCATACCTGCCAAGTCAGGGACTTGGGGGATGGGGCCCAGCAATCTGGGCATAACGTTCCCTCCAGGCAATGCCAGTGCATGATAAAGTTCGAGAACCTCTGCCCTGTAGGTAACAAGCGGTGTATTTCATATTTTATAGTTGGTGATGCGTTTTGCTTAAAAAATGAAATGTCACTGTCATCTATGCAATTCTTAGATATTTACTGAATGTGAATGTATGGATGCCTATCTCAAATGGAGGCACTGACAGGGCAACCGTGTCCCTGAGCATAAATCCATTTGTATCTGAAAGATAAAGAAGTTAGTGGTCGCATTTCTCAGAGTGGGCATGAAACTAATATCAGATAAAGCCCATTTAGAAACTATATTTTTAATCTTCACCCAAGGATATTTTCCCATTGATTTTTAGAGAGAGTGAAAAAGAGAAGGGAAGACAGAGAGAAATTTTGATGTGAGAGAAACACATCAATTGGTTGCCTCGTGCATGAGCCCCAAACAGGGCCTGCCCAGGGAGGAGTCTGCAACCGAGATCTGTGCCCTTGACTGGAATCGAACCCATGACACTTTGGTCCACCCGCTGACGCTCTACCCACTGAGCCAAACCAGTTAGGGCTAGAATATTTTTTGCAAGTATTCAGTTGCTATAAAAACGTGAGTTATCATTGGGTATCTAGAATTTGTTCTTTACTAAACTTTAGCCCATAAGACTGGTTGTCAACACTGACTGTATATTATAACTACCTGACGCATTTAAAAAGGAGGGAATGATATCTGCGTTCCACCAACAGAGGCTCTGTTTGATTGATCTGTGGTGCAGCCTGGGCCTTGGCACAACAGCCATCATTATTATTATTACCGTCATCATTACCATTATTATTTCCAGATCATAATGTTAAACCATGGCCCCATTACCTACCTACTAGCAAAGGACTCCAATTATAGACATGAACCTAAAAAGCATGGATCATCATTGCTGGATATAATACCTATAGAGAGACATACTGTCCCTGCGATGTATTTCTTAAGCAAAAACCCATAAACTGCCCAGCCAGTGTGACTCAGTGGTTGAGCATCAACCTATGAACCAGGAGGTCACAGTTCGATTCCTGGTCAGGGCATATGGTAGGGTTGGGGGCTTGATCCCCAGTGTGGGGTGTGCAGGAGGCAGCCAATCAATGATTCTCTCTCATCGTTGATGTTTCTGTCTCTCTCTCCCTCTCCCTTCTTCTTTGAAATCAATAAAAATATGGGTTTTGTTTTTTTTAAAAAAAGAAAGAAAACCACAAACTCTATTTTAATGATTCCTTATATAATTATTAACTTTTCTATAATGCTTTTCAAAGGTCCATCTTATTAACTCCTCCTAATATTTGGGCTATGAGGAGAAGGTGTTCAGAGTCAGATTTCCCTTCCCGTTTTCCTATTGAGAAGACTGAGTGCCAGACTCCATTGCTGGGACTTGGGGCTCAGACGGCTCTCTCTTGGTCATTAGCTTCTTTTCTTGGCCCTACTGTGTAGCCTTCCATATCTGCACACCAGCAGCTCTAAGAAATGTTGTAGTTAAACATGCTTGACACTTGATGCCTTGGGTTGTGCATGGCATAGAAAAAAGAGGAATGCTATTTTTCATCCGCTAGGAAAATGAAGTCTAAAAGAGGCAGAACTGGGCCTAACACCCAGAACTTCTCACCCCCAGTCTGTGTTGTTTTGCTGTAACTTATTTCTGTGTAGAAATGTATTATCATTTTGTAATTTATTGAGCTTTGGGAGGTAGAGGAAAGATTGTATTGCTGGTTTCAGGTAAGAAAATTACCCAGGTAGTATATGTTCATTGTAGAAAAATAGATGTTCAAATAGGAAAAAATAAAATACCACTTTCCTGCTCCTTAGAGACTTATCGCTGGTAATGACTACCCTTCTCGATTTTTTCAGTGCATATATGCATTTACATGTGTATAGGTATATATGTATTTTTGAAAACATTTTAGCCTGGTTTTTAATGTAGCACTTTAAAAGACACTGTCTCATTTGGATCCTATATTAATAGCGCCAACACTAACTGTACTTATTTTTTCCTAGGTGTAGGAATCTTTAAATCCTTAGGATTTAAGAGAATAAAACCTGCATTGCATTTTAAACTTTATTTGTTACATTATTCGTGGTGAGGTATTTAAGAAGCAATTTAACTTCATGATAACTACAACCAGAGGTAGCTAAGATTATTTGAATATTATTTCTATTTATTACAAAAACAAAAACAAATTTCCTCTAGATAAAATAGATTAAAAATTCTTATATATATCCCCTTCTACTCTTAAAACAATCCGAAAGATAGAAAATCCACCTTCAATATTCCATCACCAGAATTCAAAGTGCTTTACAAAGCAGAGCAGATGGAAAATACAAGACAGAATTGTTTTCATTTTTTACTCCCATAGTCATCTAATGGTATAAATAGAAAAATATGACCCACATATCTGATATGAGCTATTACAATTATTACCTCTAGTTTTAGTAGACCAGCAGAGGCTCAGAACTGCTGTTGATGAGAACACACAAAGAGAAAACACTTAGAGATGAAGGAAACCACATGGTGGAAATATCACACATTTAAAAACAGGAGTTCATGAAATATATATATTCCCCCCCATAAAATTGCTTTAAATCTGTAAATACCTGTGCCAATGAAGACTAGAAGTCTCCTGGAAATTTTAGAGGATGCTTTGGTTTCAATAATCAGGAAATAAACGTCAGAAAAATGAGAGAACCATACAGATTTATTTCTAGACGTACATTTACTCAAAGGGGCTATTGCAGTTGTAAAAAAAAAAAGGGGGGGGGCTGAGGATGGGAGACCTGGGTGTACGTTTATATGTCCCGCAGAGCCTCTCATGGGATGCAGCCACTTCAGAGACTGGAGTCCTTGCTAAAGGAACAATTAAGTCTTGATTTACATCTCTGCTGTGAAGCACGTTTTGTTTCCCAGGTGTGGTAATTTTCCTTTGATAGAGTCATCTTGCAGCTTGGGAGATTTAGAATCTAATGCTAGCATTCAAAGATTTTACGAACAATCCAACCATCAACCATCATCACCATCACCATCACCATAATCACCATCATTACCATCACTATCATCATCACCATCATCACCATCACTACCATCACCACCACCACTACCACCACCACCACTACCAAAACCAACTCAGTCATTACCATCAACATCATCATCAGTTAATATCATTATGATTAGTTTTTATTACACATAATTAACTAGGCTTAAAGGGGCTTTAAGCAAATTCAAATATTTTACTAAAACCAACCATACGATTTTAGCCAAGCAATGTGAATTTATAAGGAACATTAAATTGTCACCCTGGCGTTATACCTACACTCTGACACTATAGAATGGCAGAAGGTTGAGAGACACAAGAAAATCCTATATAATAAAAGGTTAATATGCAAATTGACCGAACTGTGGACCGACTGGTCTCTATGACGTGCACTGACCATCAGGGGGCAGACGCTCAATGCAGGAGCTGCCCCCTGGTGGTCAGTGCACTCCCACAGGAGAGGTGCCACTCAGCCAGAAGCCCTGAGCTGGCTAACAGTTGGCGAGCACAGCAGTGGTGGCAGGAGCCTCTCCCACCTCTGCACCAGTGCTAAGGATGTCCAACTGACGGCTTAGGCCCTAAGCCGTCAGTTGGACATCCCCCGAGGGCTCCTGAATTGTGAGAGAGCACAGGCTGGGCTGAGGGACAACACCCCCCAAGGGCACAAATTTCGTGCACGGGCCTCTAGTAGACGTATAAGAACTCTTCATACATATATCCTCATTCATAAGAGAAATATGTTCATAAGAAAATGCATTTTTCAAAAATACATTCAGAAAAAAACAAAACAAAAGAAAAAATACATTCAGTAACATTATTCATGAAAATATTGCTAATGAAGATTTTTATTGAACTGTTTTGAAATAAGTAGATTCACATGCAGTTGTAAGATATAATATAGAGAGATCCTCTGCACCTTTTGTACAGTTTCCCAAGGGATGGCATTTTGCAAAATTATACTACAACCTTACACTCAGGATAGTGCAAATTGCCACAATCCACTGATCTTACTCAGGTTTCCCCAGTTTTGCCAATACTCATTTGTATATGTATGTAATTGATGCAATTTGATTGCATGCATAGGTTCATGTATGCACACAGCTCAAATAAAAACACATTGCTTTCATTTTATAATATTTAAAACTAGAGGCCCAGTGCACAAAACTCGTGAATGGGAGAGAGGGGGTCCCCTCAGCCCAACCTGCACCCTCTCTAATCTGGGATCCCTTGGGGGATGTCTGACTGCCGGTTGTCAGAGATCAGGCTGAAACAGGAAGTTGGACATCCCTCTCACAATCCAGGACCACTGGCTCCTAACTGCTCACCAGCTTTCCTGCCTGATGACCCCTAACTGCTCCCCACCCACCCCCCGCCAGCCTGATCACTCCTAACTGCCTCTGCCTGCCAGCCTGATTGCCCCTAACTGCCCTCTTTCACCAGCCTGGTCACTCCTTAGTGCCACCCCTGCTGGTCTGGTTGCCCCCAACTGCCCTCCTGCTGGCCTGGTTGCCCCTCACTGCCCCCCTCTGCTGGCCTGGTCACCCCTTACTGATCCCCTCTGCTGACCTGGTCACCCCTCATTGACCCCCTGTCTGCCTGGTTGCCCCATGCAGCCTGCTGTCAGTCATTTGGTCATCCCTCGCTAACCCCCCTCCTGGCCTGGTTGCCCCACACAGCCTGCTGGTCAGTCGTTTGGTTGTCCCTCCCTAAACCCTCCCGACCTGGTTGCCCCTTGCAGTCTGCTATTCGGTTGTTACTATGAGGGCATTGTGACCAATATGCATATTACCCTTTTATTAGTATAGATAATGTTTTAGTTTTTTATTATCCTCCAAAGGTCACCAGTGACCAGTTTTGTTTTGTTTTTTAGTATATTTATACTCTCACTAATTTAAACATATTTTATGGTTTCGCTCTACTGCAATTTTTATTGTTTTGTTGCCAAACTTTATTCTTTGGCCTGCAGAATTCTGTTTTCCTCCTGTCTTTTTGACAATGCTATATTAGTCTCTAATTGCTTTCTTGCTATCTGATATGACAAGATGTTCCAAGCTCATCTCATGTTTCATTCTTCAGGCCAGGAAATAACCATTTCCTCCAGAAACTTGGTTTCTTTTAGAGGTAAAATGGTGTTTCAAGGTCAAAAGTTAGGTACCAGAGAGCCTCATTTTTGGAATAATGTGAGTTTTTGTGTTTCTCTGGTGAAGAGTGATGAACAACTTACTAAAGTCTATGCTAGTGCTTTTGATGGACTCTGAAACATATATGTAAGGCATTGTAAACATGTTTAAGTATCAGATTTACATTATATATAATGAAATAAAAATATACACTAGATCTGAGCTAGAAATAACTAAAGCAAAGAAACTATGAAGCAGAGATTCAGGGTTCGTGCCAAAATGAACATAGTCAGAAACATTTCTTTCTCTACTGCTTCCTGCTTGTGTTAAGGCAAGCCATCAGTGAACTTGATCTAGGAGAAGCCATAGGTGAAATGCACTTGAAGCACAGTTTTCATGGCAATGGTCTCTGAAGTGATATCAGCTCCACAGAAGTTTACCTGGTATTGCATCATACAGGCAAGAATCCCCCACGGCTCCCAGAGAAAAGTAAACTTTTAATGAACCCCCGAGGTCTTCTTTGCCGTTGCATTCCTAAGAGAGTTTATGATAGTTCGTTGTTTTTCTCCATTTCTAACTTTACGTGTAGTGGGATTAAGCTTAGGCGTGGGGATTCATTAAAGTCACTGGAGGACACAGCAAAATCGTAAGTGTAAATCTACAAATTAAGCACAATTATCATGGAGCATTAGCTAAACGCGACCCACAGAGGTGGATAAGCAAGCAGACATGGATTGATGTGGGCACACACATAAGCACAGAGATAGGTATAGTGACTGTAGTTGGACTTGACAAGAAGCTGGGTTTCTGCATTTGTGGAATGACTTCATAAACTTCTCATGAGATGCCCTGATTAAAAACAAACAAACAAACAAACAAACAAAACACACACACACACACACACACACACACAAAAAAAACAAGCACATAGCTTAATCCCTTGTTCACTGAAGCTTGAGTTTCTCCAAACAGAGATCCCTCCTGCCTTTGGCTAACAACATCATCAATGCTGTGTGAATATATTTGGAGTAAAGGTAGCTACACACCAGCTCAATTAGTCCCTGTACAAAGGAGTTTGTCAGATCCCGTCCTGAGAGCTGATTTGGAAATTAAGGGGGGTGTGACCGTCACCGTGTGACTTCTGATTTTCTAAGAAAGTTCAGAAAGGTCCTTGGCTTCTCCTGAGCCAGTGCTTATGGCGAAGACATTCACTGAGGCCCAGGACAATAATAATGCATTGCCTGGGAGGAGTGGTATGTACACTTGTGGGTCCATTAGAGTAGTTGATGTTAACAGCACAGCTCTGACCATACTCTCTCAAGACTTTCCTTAAATTGCCTAATTTACTACCCTATTTAAACATACAACTCACAACCCACACCCCTTTCTTTGTTTTTTTATAGCTCCTATTATTTTCTAAAATATTGCATAAGTTATTCATGCTATTGTCTGTCTTTCCCCCTACTAGAGTAAAAGCTCGACAAAGGCAGGGGACTTTGTTTTGTGTAGTACGGTTTCTAAAACAGTGCCAAACATAGTTTCTCACTTAATATTTATTTGGTGAATCAATGAATGTCACTCTGTTATTCAAAGACAAAGAGAGAATCTTAAAAGCAACAAGAGAAAAGCAGTTAGTTACCTACAAGAGAGCTCCCATAAGACTGTCAGCTGATTTCTCAGCAGAAACATTTCTGGCCAGAAAGGATTGGCACAAAATATTCAAAGTAATAAAAAGCAAGGACGTACAAATGTGATAGTAGGCAGTTAGTTGGATATTAACCTTCATTGTGTGACTTCTGATTTTCTAATGAGGAGCGAACCAATCAGAAGCCTTATTAAGCTTTATAGTCTCTCCAGCGAGTCCACCCCACTAAGTAGACTAGTGCAGAGGAAGTCCTTTCACTTGTGCATGTGGGGTAGAAGCCAAAATGGTGACCATAAATGGGATGAGAGAAACCTGGGAAAATCTGGGGAAAGAGATTGTATGGCTTGAAAGAAAGCCTACTCTCTTCTCCCAGGCCCAAGGAAATAGAAGGAAGCTTAACAAAGGTCCCAGTCTCTTTTTTGGTACCTACGTAAGCCAGAGAACAGCTGGAAGCAGAGACTGAGCTGGACTGCTGAAGCCTTGGGTGCCAGGGTAATGGCATAGCAACTCTGGGCACTGACCCTTTTGGTCCTAGTGAGTACAGATGCAAAATTGCATCCCTGGAAGCTGGACTTCTTCCATAGCGAGACTGAGCTGAACCACTTGGTCGTGGATGAGGCACTGGGCATGGCATACCTGGTGGTAGTGAACGCAGTCTCCCAGCTGAGTGCCAGGAAGTGCCTTGTCCAATGTGGCAGCCTTTGTGGGGACATCTGTGCCCTGTGTGCTCTTCCTTCTCTTGGACTGCACTTTTGTTTTCTTTTCTCCTAAACTCTAAGGGTCTCCATGAAACTTACAATCAGAGAAGCAATGGGCTTTAAGGACTCTCCTTGTTGCCTCTATAATATATTTCCCTGAGTTTAGGCAGCCCAATCTGGGCACACTCATGCTGCTGTGATCTTGCCTCTTCTATCCTAAGGCCTTCCTTTGTTTTGCTCTAATAAATCTTACCACTTGTGCTCAAAATCTTCTTAAATGAATGTACATGAAATTAATTTCCTGTGACACCATGGGAAAACCTATTTATTCCAGTAACACAACCAAGATTATTATACCCAGCAAAATTACCCGTTAGATTAAAAAGACAGATAAAAAGCTTCCTGGACAAGAAAATGCTAAAGGAGTTTATCATCACAAAACTAGTAGTTCAAGAAATGTTAAAGGTTCTTCTTAAAAAAGAAAAAAAAGATCAAGTATATGAATAATAAAATGGCAATAAATACATATCTATAAACAACTTATAAATTGAACAGTTTAAAAAATATATTTTATTGATTTTGTACAGAGAGGAAGGGAGAGAGATAGAGAGTTAGAAACATCGATCAGCTGCCTCTTGCACACCCCCTACTGGGAATAGGCCCTTGACCGGAATCGAACCGAGACCTTTCAGTCGCCAAGCCAACGCTCTATCCATTGAGCCAAACCGGTTTCAGCTAAATTGAACAATTTAAAATCACCTGTTGGTGAATTCGCTTTCATGAACTGATTTTTTTTTTTTTTTTCAGGGAAATGGCCTGACTCCTTTAGTTAGAATCAATTTGACTTTATTACTGTGATTGAGCAGTGGGAAACTGTATCATTTATTAAGGAGGGGATATAGAAGAAAGGTAGTGATATTATTTTTTTTAATATGTAGAATTCTAGTTGTCTGTTGGGTGTTTAGATGTGGATTGAAATGCAGATTTAGAAGTCACCAAAAGGAGATAATTCAAGACATGGAAGGGAACAAAATCTTTCAGGGCTCATTGAAGCTGTTTCACATGAAGGTCTACCAGCTGCTGTCTCATCTCTCTGCTCAGGTTTGTGTTTCTTCTTAAAGCTGGGAATGCTGTATGTAGGGATGAGTTTGGTACCATATTCATGCAACTTTGATAATCTACCAGAAGACTAAGACCTAATGCACAGTTATGAGACATATATGCTGACTTTTATTATATGTAAATCTCCACATGCCTGTGATGTGCCATGTGTTATATATGGTTTCAGTTAGAAATAAAGAAGGAAGTCATTTTCCAAAGATTCCAGTTTTGGGAAGGTGACAGTACTGCACAAACCGAAAGACAAAGAGCTGTTTTCATTCCGTATTGTAACAAGGCGCCAGGTAACATGGCTTTAGAGGAGTCCTGTGAAGATGCATTTGGGAATGAGGTTGCCATGGAAACTGTCTCTGATGTCACAAAATCCCCCTAGAGCTTTTAGAGGACCCCCAATTTTGTCTTTGCACTTGGATCTCAAGAAGAGCTTACAATAGGTCCTCAGGTTACATTGGAGATCCATTCCTATGGTGTAACATAACATGATTTTTGCCATAAGTCAGGACCCACTACATAAGCACCTATGTCACTCAAATGGAGCACATACACAGCAGTAATGAAGTGAATCAGTAAAAACAAAATTAAAAGAAAGATAACTCCTGACCTTTACTTGTGGTAAATAAAAGAAAACATGAAGCACATATGTATATACATTGAAATGACAGAATTTTTTTTTTAATAAACTAGAGGCCTGGTGCATGGAATTCATGCATTGGGGGTAGAGGGGGTGTCCCTCAGCCCAGCCTGCACCCTCCCCATAGGCTGTCAGACATCCACCTCACAATCCAGGATTGCTGGTTCCCAACCACTCACCTGCCTGCCCGATTGATTGCCCCTAGCCACTTCTGCCTAACAGCCTGATCACCCCCTAACCATTCCCCTGCCAGCCTGATGGATGCCTAACTACTCCCCTGCCAGCCTGGTTGCCCATAACTGTCCTCTCCTGTAGGCCTCATCACCCCCAACTTCCCTCTTCCACTGGCCCAGTAACCCCTAACTGCCTTCCCTTGCCAGCCTGGTGGTCCCCAATTGTCCTCCCCTACAGATCTGGTCACCCTTAGCTGCCCTGCTGGCCTGGTTACCCCTAACTGCCCTCCTCTGCCAGCCTGGTCACCCTCAACTTCCCTCCTCTGCCAGTCATCTTGTGGCAGCCATCTTGTGTCCACATGGGGGCAGCCATCTTTGACCACATGGTGGTGGCCATCTTGTGTGTTGGAGTGATAGTCAATTTACATATCACTCTTTTATTAAATAGGATGGGAGATGATGACATAACCACGAAACAATATATGTTGATTCTGATGTAACCCGAGGACTGTCTGTATTTTAAGGAATTATTTTTTTCCTTTTTTTTCAGTGGGATTGACAAGAGGGATTGGGGTCCATGAGAGTTACTCTGGGTAGTGGACAATTCTCCATGAAAACAGAGTAAATAGACAGATGAGGCACCATCACTGCTGAGTCTTATCAGGGGGTGAGCAAGTCCTCGCTGCTACACCTGCACACGCTCAGAAACACACACAGGCTTGTGTGCAGTGGTTTTAGTTGGACTTGCCTGGAGGAAGATGGATTCTGCCTTTGTGGTTTGATTTCCTCTCTTCCCCAAGAGGACTTGTGCCATTAACATAGGATGGAACCTAT